AGAAATAAAAAAAAAAAAAAAAAAAAAAAAAAAAAAAAAAAACACCAAAATGGGGGGTTTTGAAATTACAAACGGTAAAGAAATTCAAGCTTGGTGAAAGTTGGATTTTGGAGTTTCTTTCTTGTATTCTTTGAATCTGGTATGCACTGAACTTTTTTCTTGCGTTTATTAACATTATTCTTCGGCTAAATTTGTAGTTGAGACGAACTATGTAGCGTTAAAACAAATTCATTATTTTGATTATTGAAGACATGTTTTATTTATAGATGTGTATCGTTTTTATCATTATGCTTGATTCAATTAATTTTCTTGGCAATTATTAATTGATTTGTGAATTGTAACAAGTATAGATGTGAGTTATTGGATTAGATAAAATATTAAAAAATAGTAATTTAGCTAAGAGATAGAGATATATTCTTAGAGTTATTGCGATAGTTTCAAGAAATTTTTGGTGGATAAGCACCTTTAATTAGGTTAAATTTCACATGGAGATATAGTGAGTTGACTTAATTAATATGATGAATCAATGGGGAGGATTAAAGTGAAATCTTGAGTCCTACCATTTTTCTCATCAAATTAACTCTTAAAATGAGATTGTCCACTACACAACACTTTAAATGATTTCTTAGTTTAGAAATAGTATGATCACTCAAGTGTAATTTTATGTTTGTCAAATATAAGCTAGTTTATTAAAATCAATAATTAAGTATAATAGTTTGCGTGGAATGTTAAGACAAATTCAAGTTCACTTTATTACTTGTTTACTGTTGTTGTACATCAGGTTTTTGGCATCGTTGTGAACTACTTTTATTTGATATTGATTTTTAGTGAATTCTTCCTTTCGTTTGAATTTTTTTATATCTTAATTCCGTAAGGTTGATAAAAATTCAATTGAACATATGAAATAATTGCTATGGTTTTAGTGTTATGATTAAAAAAGGACAAGTCCCATATTATAAACTAATATTTAATTCATCACTTTGTATTATCTGAATCTAAAAAATCAGTCAAGATATAATAAATCAGTCATATATATCTTTATAGCAATTGATTTTATTTTATTTATTTATTTTTGTTAGCATAAAATTTAATTAGAATTTGCAAAACAAAAAATGAAAGAAGAAAGGTATGTATAAATCTAAGGATGAGAAGAAGAGAGAAAAGAGTATCATTAATGTAGAATTCCAATATATGAAGTCTACATGTCAACTCATAAAAGATAGTGTAATAAAGTATCAATGCTCATTGGTAATGGTTCACCCACAATTAAACATTAAACGGAAGAAAAAAAATGTTTGGAGCCAATAAAGATTAAGAAGATTGACGCAGGAAAATTATGAGCACCATTTAGAATTTGGACCTAACCATTGAGTACAAAATAACCTGTGAATGCAAAAGATTTTATAAAAATAAATAAATAAATTTTAATGATTCACTTGTCTGGATGACGAAATGAGCCGAAGATCAATTTATCTATTGAGAGAAGTAAAGAACAAACCCTACAAATGAAATAGAGATCGACAGATTAAATATTCATTGACAGTTTTTTTCTCGCGGTCCTTTTATTTTTTTATTTTTGAATTGCTAAACTTAAATAAAGGACAAAACAATATGATTTTTTCTTATGACGTTCTAAAGATATTATTTTTTACAAAAATGATAGTCATTTCAATTAAATATTTTTAATCGAACGGATTCTGTATATGATGCGTTCATTAGGGAGAAATCTTTCGTTGAATAGGGAGATTGAATGCACTTGCAAACTAAGAAGGCAGAGAGAACGAAAGGAAAAATAAATTTGTTTCAACAAGCGCTCACCTTTTTTGGCTTTTCTAAAATCGAATATTTTGAAGTTGTTAAAGACCCGTCCTTTGTTTCAGATAGAATGAGTCCCTGGGACATTGACTTCCTTCGACAGTGAACTGGCGATAATCAAGTGATTGTAGTTGGTGTGGGAACTCTGTCGAACTCTAAATTCTTGACTCCACAAATTGCTCAAGGACAATATAGCGTTGTCTATTCAACACTTCTGTGACCAAATTTCCAACTAAGACACGTGTCATTAATATTTTGTCAATAGACTCGAGTTTCATGGGAGGGCATATGAAAATCCAAACACCCATGGATGATGTTTTAGACAATGGCTTTTCCCTCATAAATAACGAGATGAGCAAGAAAGTATTACTACTTGGGATGGCTTTGTTATAAATTTTGTTGTATAAAATATTTCTCTCCAGCCAAAGTTACTACGTATCAGCAACTTGATAAGGAGAAGACATGGGACATGTTCAAGGATTTGCTCGAAAGTGTCTTGGTCACGAATTTTTGAATGATCAACAAGTCCAGTATTTAGACGATGTATCATTTTCAGCAGGTTGGACAATAGTGGATTTAGAAGCCAGCAGTTCATTTGGAACTATAACTGTGAATGAAGAATTGGAATTATTTGAAAGAATTGCTGCTACACAAGTCACGTAGCAATCTGACTTAGTAGTGACACAGAAAGTTGATGGATTCATGAGATAGACACTGATTTGGCCCTTGCTGCACAAGTAAGTACCTGCCTTGTCAAGCCCGAAGGGTATCACTGCAGTTCCCCCATCATAAAAAAAAAAAAAGGAAAAAAAAAAAAGAAAAGGAGTTTACTTCATGATTTAATGGCATCTTGGGTTCAAATAGGGTAACCCTTGCTTAAAAAATTGAACCCAACTTGAACTAGAGATTGTCCATTTTTATTTTTATTTTGAATTAAAAGCACCATCAAAGTCTCATTGTGTTTTTATGCCTATGAATGGTGGAGGATTAAAATACGATTTTTTGTAGATTTTGATCAAAATTGTTAAAATGTGTGATTTAGAAATTGTAAATCAAATAAAATATATAGTTAAAATTAATTTTTGACTTTGACTTAGAATATGAGCTATATACATAATCTCTAGTCAAAGCAATAAAAATGGAAACACTAGGAGATACTAACTTCTGTATAAACATAAACAATGAAACAAAAATGCTTAGAAACCTCTAAACATGAGAAGTCCGTGTCCATCAATCTGTACCAGGATGATAAGTCTAGAGGACCATACATGTGATTGCAATGTCGATCCCATTTCATGTCATAGTCATTGTCGTTAACAAAATATGTGTGATTTATGCCGAAGGATGAAATATTTCATCCGACAATTTTTTTCCACAAGAAGATTGAAATCAGAACAAAAACTGAAGAAAGAAGAACATGAGAAATATAATCTCAGAGGGAAATAAAAGAAGCCAGACGCTTGATCAGATCCTTTGCTTTCTCTGTTTCAGGATTCAAGACATGAAAGCAATGATCTTCTCCTTCAACCTCCACCATCTCCACCTCCCCATTCCAACCACTTTTCTTTACAGTCTCAACATAAAGAATTCCTCTTGACGTCAATGGATCCTTCTCTGCTAAACAAACCAACAGCCTTGAACACCCCAGCCCCGATAAACTCGGTGCATCTTCAACAAATGGATTGATCATAGCATTGTCAATCCCACCAGGAACTGATGGATAAACAAATAACCAAATCTTATATAGTAGACTCTGCTCAATTTCTTCTTTTATTTCGGACCCAAGTGGCTTTGACCCCCAGAAGTAAGGATGAGATAGAAATCCACCCACGATTTTCACATCCCCAGGTAAAGGTTCTGCCCCAGCTCGGAGAAGAATATTATGAACTATATTGCCTCCAGCACTGTCACCACCTATATAGATCTTACTGAAATTACCGTGCTCAGTTAGCCATGGTTCCTTTTCGATGCCAGGGTTTTCAGTAAGGTGAGAAGCTACCCATTGAAGAGCAGTCCAGGAATCTTCATAGGCTATTGGCAAAGGGTTTTCAGGGGCGAGCCTGTACTCAACAGAAACGATTAAAGCGTTTGCTTCAGCCGCTAATATGTTAATGTAACGTTGATCGAGGAAAGAGAATGCGGATTCGAGGCAAAATGCACCGGCATGGTAATAAACCAAAACTGGGAGCTTTTGGTTTGGTTCTGTGAGTTTTGGGAGGTATAGTCTGGCTTGAAGCACTGGCGAAATGTTCAAGCCTTTGGAGGCTACGCCGGTGGCAGGGTCATCCGGCGACGGAGGAACGTGGGGTGAACCGAAGAGTCTCTCGACAGTGCCATCTTTGTATAGTTTGAGGACCGGAGAGAGGTCGGTGAGCACCTCTTTGGTGTTGTCGGAGGCCATGGCAGTAATTTTTTAGGGATTGATAGAGATTGGAATCAGTAGATACTGTAGGATTTGTACATTGAATTCTTGTAAAAAAAAAAAAAAGGTTGTACATTGAATTCTTGGAATTATATGGAGAGTGGGAGGATGTGAACGCATTTCACCTAAAATTTGTCAAAGTCAAACTTTACATGCGGACAATTTCCACGTGATTGTCTTGCTTTGAAAAAATGGAAAATCCTGCAGGGTCTTACCTACCTCTCACTATAGGGGTGACCCAACATGTTAAAAAAAAAAAAAAAGACGAAGGATTTTGTTATGAGTACATAAAACGAGGAAATAATTGAAAATGACCTAATAATCCATGTGTATTTCAAAATAACATTTGACTAGTTTTTAAAGAAAAACAAATGAAAATTGATTTTAAAAGTTAAAATTTCAAAATATTCTCAGACGGTCACTTTCCCATTTGCATACAGTTGGCCAAAATCAAGGAAAAGCTACGATCGATTTTCAGTCGGTAGACGTTTTCAGTTCATCTCCGACGATCTTCTTCTTGTTAAGGTAAGTTTCGAGTTGTTAATTAACTAGATTAATGTTTAGATTTTCATATTGTGTGTGAATGTTGAATTTGTAGAGGTTTTTGAAATGTATTATTGGTTATGTAGGTGTAGAAGTATGAATATGAGTCTAAATTGGAGAATAATAGGTGAATTTTGAGATTTACGAGCTTTTCTCGTCGAAAATGAAGATTTTCCGACGAGAAATGCCAAAACGCAGCCGGCATTTTAGCAAAAATCCGATTGTTAACAGTCCGTTGGCTCAATTGTCATGGCCTAAACTGTTTTTGTTATTTCATGGGCCCATGACTGTTAAGTGGGCCGACTGTTATAGTTGGTCCAATAACAATTTTTTTAATTTGGGTCGATTTACGGTTAGCGCATTGATTGTTAAGCGGGCCAACTGTTACGGTCGGCCCGCTGCTTTTATTTTTATTATTATTATTATTTTCTTACATATATTTAAGAATTTTATTTTATATAATTTTAATTATTAGTTTTTAATAAATAATAATTTATTTATTTGTAAAATTTAAATAAAATATTTAATTTGAATATTTATTTTTATTTCCTCATTTTTTATAAATAATAATTTTTCATTCTCGAATTTAATTAATTTTTGTAATTGTAATATTTAATAATTCTTTTAATTTTAAATTTAAATTTCATATCTAGTTTTATTAATAGTTTTTTATAAATAATATTATTTTCATTAATAGAATTTCATTAATTATTATCATTGTAATTTTGAATAATTATTTAACTTTAAATTTCGTTTTTATTTTTCTTAATAGTTTTTTATAAATAATATTTTTTTTGTTAATCGAATTTCATTAATTCTTGTCATTGTAATTTTGAATATTTATTTAATTTTTAAATTTTATATTTATATTTATTAATTGTTTTTTATAAATAATATTCTTTTCGTTTATCGAATTTAATTATTTTTGTAATTTTAATTTTTAATAATTATTTAATTTTAAATTTAAATTTCATATTTAATTTTATTAATTATTTTTTATAAATAGTATTCTTTTAGTTCTCGAATTTAATTAATTTTTATAATTGTAATATTTAATAGTTCTTTTAATTTTAAATTTAAATTGCATATTTAGTTTTATTAATAGTTTTTTATAAATAATATTCTTTTCGTTAATCGAATTTCATTAATTCTTGTCATTGTAATTTTGAATAATTATTTAATTTTAAATTTCATTTTTATTTTTATTAATGGTTTTTTATAAATAATATTCTTTTCATTAATCGAATTCCATTAATTCTTGTCATTGTAATTTTGAATAATTATTTAATTTTTAAATTTCATATTTATTTTTATTAATTGGGCCAAATGTTAATAGTTTAATTTTTTTTAAATATATATTTAATTTTTTATTTTTAATATATATTTTATAATTAATTTATTAATAATTATGTTATTTATTTATTTTTTTAATTGTCTTTTATTTATATATTTTAATAATTGAATGTTATCTGAAAGTAACAATGTATTTTCCATGTTATTTATTTAATTTTTAAATTTTTTTGTATATATATTTTCCAAATGTAATATACAAGATTAATTTTCTTTATAATTTTCATTTGATTAAATAATAATTATGTTATTTATTTATTTAATTTTTATATTCTTTAATTTTTTAAAATTTATTTAAATAATATTTATATTCGTTAATTTTTTTTGAAATTATATTTAATCTTTAATTTTTAACTTTTTGTATTCTTTAAATATTAATAATTTCCTTTTGCTGAAAATCTCATTAATTTATATTTTAATTTAATTAATTATTTTTTACATTTGTAGTGAATTTATTTTGTTATTAGCGTCAAGAATTCGGTTCCCATTGATTTTTTGATATTATGCGTTATTTTATTATCTCTTATTCAATGTTCTAACATTTGAATTTTTGCAAGATGGAGTATCATTTAGATGGGAAGTTGAGATGAATGGCGGGGAAAGCTACTTAAAACAGTAGTTTTGAGAGTTTTACTACTGTGTTGGAGCTGCTCGATGATCATCACGGAGATATGCTACGACAGTTTTTCTTGTGGCCACTGTACCGGATGTGAAAGGTGCAGTACTTAGGACAGATTATCGATGCACTTCTATGTCGGCTTCTGAGGCCAGTCGACGGCGATTCCCTCCACTTCGACCTCGGGGGCAAGGTCGTCAGTTTCTCGATGTATGAGTTTAGCTTGATCACTGGATTGAGAATTATGGGCAACGATGCAGCCATTCAGAGAAGCAATAGGTTGTACGAGACGTACTTCCAAGGATGTAGGTAAGTGCTTCTACCCGAGTTGATGGTCGCGATTAGGGGGTGCGACCAGATGTTAGATAGATTGAAGTTTGGGCTGGTCTACATCCTCGAGATTGTGATGAGATGTCATCACAAGAAGACTACTATCGACATTTTTCATTTGCAAGTTGTTGACGACATCGATGCGTTCAACAACTATCCATGGGGCCGGAGATGCTACGAAGACACCGTACATGTCTTCACCAAATCACACTCGAGGCCCAGGGGGTCAATGCATAAATACGATACATATGGATTGTCCTTAGCGGTACAGGTAAATGTTTAATATAATAAGTGTATGTGTTGCAGATTTGGGTGTATGAGACAGTCCTTGTACTGGGGGCCCGCTTTGCTAAGCGAGAGGAGACACGATGCCCTCGGATGCATCATTGGAGATTATCGCGAGCAGACGGATGTCCCACTGGGAAACAATTATCGGCCCTCCTCGACGATCCTCAAGTATGCATTATGCATTTGTGATTTATATTATACGTAGTTTAAAATCTGTTTACATAATCTAACTAGTTGAAATGTCAATATGTCAGTTTGAAATCATACCTGAGTTGACGCCGTCAATAGAAGAGGAGCTTCGAAATCTTGTGCGAGATTTAGGCGTTCTGCACACCCAAGACGAGGAGATGTCTAATCCGAGTCTGGACGGATATTAGGTATGTGAATTAAATATAATTTATTGAATATCGTCGACGTATAAATTTATTGAGTAATTTTTAATGTTATTTATGTAGGAGGGCGGTCCAGTTGATCGACAATCACCTTCGCTAAGGATATCACCACCACCATTAGCATCAACTCCGTCGAGAGCATCGTCGCCGCCATTGGCATCACCTCCATCGAGGGCATCGTCGCCATCATTGGCATCGCCACCGCCGAGGGTATCTCATTCTCCCTCGTCCAGACACCTCCCCCGTGTATCTCTGGTACACAGTGATGATTTGTATGCCCGTCTGAATGGATTTATAGTGGAGGAGGTCGGCGCGCTACGACGAGAGTTGACGGAGAGGGTCGATGATCTAGGATAAGAATTGACAGGGAGAGTCGATGATCTGACAGGGAAGGTTGACTATTTGACAGGGAGAGTCGACGATATAGGACGAGAGTTGATAGGGAGGGTTGACGATCTATCCCATAATGTTAGAATGCTACGGTCTTGCGTTGTCGACCTTCAGGATATGGTAGTGGCGTGGAGATGATGATCGAGAGGGTGACAGAGATGGTAATGGAGAGGGGGGTTACCCACATTTTTGACGTGATCAGATATTAGAATCATTGTGGTTGTCTATGGAGGGGGAGGGAGAGGGGCGGAGGTGGTGGCCCTGATGGGAAGGGCGGAAGAGGTGGAGATAGAGGAGGTGGCCCCGGAGGTCAAGAGGATGCCCGTCATGATTGAGGGTAAGAGACATGCAGTTGATGAGACGGATCAGGTGGTCAGCAAGAGGTTGAAAGTGCCGTCACAGTATGTTGTTTCCCCCTTCACGGCTAAGGCCAAGAGGAGGACGTTCATCGATGGGACGCACTCGAATTTATTCAGGGAGGTGGACAACACCAAGTGGAAAGCGCTCGAGATGGAGTGGAGGAGAATTATCCTCGGGTTAGTATTATATGATTTTAATAAAGCACTGTACGTTAACTCGTCTATACTTATTTTAACATTTCTCTGTTTTTTCAGAGTTAGCTGCACGATAGGTCAAAGACGATCTTGGACGCTTACTAGTGGTTCTATGATATTACCACTTCGGGAGCTTGGCTCGCCGACGATGTAAGTGAACTATTCATTTAGTATTTTTTATGTATACATCACTTTGTGTTTATTAAATGAATAACTCATACTTTTTTGGTGTTTCCTGATGCAGCACATCGACATAGCCATGGATTTCCTGCGAGATCGAGCTCAAAGACATCTAAAATGATTTGACTTCTATGGTCGAGTCATATTAAACACCGAGTTCCTGCGTGCCGTTACTATAGAGTATTAGTCGCTCTAACTTATGGGTAACGAGTACACGGTGCCAGAATATATGCTCGAGTGGGTCATAGGAATGTCGCCGAGTGTTGGGGAAAATCATGGAAGGGTTTAGGGATGGCAACGGTTCGATTCGGGGTCGGTTCGTCCAAAACCATCACCAAACCATCAATTTTTTGGTCATACCATAACCGCACCATAACCACAAAAGTCAGTTTGGTTCGGTTTCGGTTCGTATCTCAGTTTGGCTCAGTTCGGGTCGTTAATAACTACAAAAATAAATTATTTTTAATTGGTCCATCCATCGAATTAAAATGAAAACAAAAACATGATACTTAGTTAATGTAGCGAACAACAATACATCCCAAATGAAAATGCAAAAAATATCCCAATTCTCAAACACAAAATCCAAATTTAACAATCAATATTCAATAACTCAAAAAGCTTCAACCTCAATTCATATTCAATCTTCATTCTTCTCCACAACTCTTATTGGCATCCGTCAAAACTCAAAGTTGATTCCTATATAGTATATAAGAAATGTAAGTAGAGTAATAAATCAATAATCCATAATGTTTTTAACTAAATATTTAAACAAAAAAATGTACCTCTTCATCAACATTCTCGTCATCAAACTTTGCACAAGCTCCGGAATATGATGAAGGACCAGAATTTTCTACACACAAAAGAGGAAAATATTAACAATAAAAGAAAGTGCATAAATAACAAACATAAAACAATACATCATATCATGAATATCAGACCAAAGCCAATCTGGAGCACACATTAAAGCTTCTAAAGTCTTCGGGTGAAGCCTATTTCTATGTGGGCTCACAAATCTATCACTTGTACTAAATGCTGACTCGGATGCAACAGTAGATACTGGAATGGCTAATAAATCTCTTGCAACCTTCTGTAAAGTCAGATATTTTATTGAATTTGCTTTCCACCATGTCAATAGATTAAAACCGTCCACCTTAGGCAACACTGGCTCATCTAGAAAAACATCGAACTCTGTTTTTACATGATCAGCAGTAACAGAAAGACTAACAAATGTATCAAAACCAGCCATGCGAGAATGTTTTCCACTACTAGTAGACGACTCTGATTGTGAAGATGATGGAAACAAAGATGTATTTTCTGTCGAACGATGTGGTCTCTTGTACTCTTTGAGCAACTTATGACCAAATGCTCTAATCTTTTCAACCTCTTCCTGAGCTTCATCTCCAAAAATCAAAGGAAAATAGTATTCAACTAGTTTCATCTTGTATCTAGGATCCAATATAGTTGCAACAGCTAGAATTTTATGCATGCCACTCCAATATTTATCAAACTTTTCCTTCATGCTTGACGCCATCCATTTGACTTCATCGCAAGATGATGTGCTCCAATCACGGATTGCCAACTTTATGTCACAAATATTGGGAAAGTACAAATTGGCAGTAGGATATTTTGTTCCTGAAAATAATTCAGCCGCTTCATAAAATATCTCCAACTTATCACAAATCTCTGTAGCCAATTCCCAATCACTCTCACTCGGTACACTTCTGTAATGAGGCTCTCTTTGCCTTAGTCGAGGAAAAAGTTCTTTGTAAAGCAAAGCAGTATGAATCATTAGATATGTAGAGTTCCATCGAGTCTTGCAATCTAATAATAACTTTTTTCCACAAGGGATTTTCATTTGTCGTGCAACTGCCTCAAAAGTTTCAACTCTTTTTGGTGTTGCTGACCAATATGAAACACTATCGCGAATTCTCTCAACACTCGGGCTAATGACATCCAAACCATCCTTTACTATCAGGTTCAATATGTGTGCACAACACCGCAAGTGGAAAAATTCACCATTCAACAATAAAGAACCAAGAGAAAGCTTATCTAACATAATGTTAATCATAGCGTCATTCGTGGTACAATTATCAATAGTCAATGTAGACAATTTCTGATCAATATTCCAATCAAATAGACAATCCATTAACACAGTAGACAGTGATTCAGCAGTGTGGGGACAAGGGACATATATAAATCTGTATGGATATGAAAAAAAGTTCGTAAGATAACTTAAAATTTCAGAAAATACGATAGTAGCTTAAAGTCTATTTTATAAAACTATTGTACCTCAAAATTCGGCTCTGAAGCCTCCAAGAATCATATGTGTAATGTGCAGTGATAGCCATAAATCCCTTCTTTTGATTGGATGTCCACATATCAGTGGTGACTGCTATTCTACTATTGGTCCTCTCTAACAAGCCCATTACTTTTGTTCTCTCATAATCATAAATTTTCAAGATATCAGCCTTGATGGTATTACGAGAAAAAACTTTAAATAATGGTTGAATTGTATTACAAAACTTTCTAAACCCAGTATGCTCAACCATTGAAAGAGGATATTCGTGTAGGATGATCATATATGCAAGTTCCGTCCTACCTTTCTCTTGATCAAAATTAAATGCTCCCATTGCAATCCTACCACTAGGTTCTTTAAATTGATTCAAAAACATCTGTTTGACATCCTTCTGACCTTGAAGAGGACATCTATTTAAATGAGCATGTAAATGACTTGTCCCATTTTTGGACTCACCCCCTAACTGTTTGTTGCATTGTTTGCAAATTGCTTTGGACACATTATTAATTCTCTGTAGCTTAAAATGCTGCCACATTGAAGAGGTCAATTTTCTTTTTCTATTTTCCTCAGTCATCTCCTCATCATCACCTAAATCTATATGAATAGGATTTGCATTTATCTCACTTGGACTTTGTGAAGTAACTGGTGTACTTGTTGATGTATCTCCAACTTGAATTGAAGCAGAAGCACTTCCAATTGAAGCGGGGGGAGTAGGAACGGAAGATTCTGACCCCTGGGAAGACATCTAATTTCAAAAAAAAAAAATAAAAAATCAACAAACTCAAAAACTTAGGCATTCATTAATTTCATTAGGTGAAAAATTTACAAAAGTGGAATGCTAAACGATAGAGAAATAACTTATATATCAATATAAATTATAAGGCTCAATAATTATATTAAAACTATATGTGAGGAGGCTATTTTATTTTAGTTCAAAAACAACTTTTTGTCCTCTAGACTTTCAACTTATATTTAAAGCAGTAAATAGAATTCGGATTAAAAAAAAATAAACAATAGATAATGACTAACACAAGATAATGACAAAAATTAAAAGTTCTAATACATATTTATAGACTGACATAATTGAAATATATACATAGATAACTAGTCTAAATTAATTTGGAACCAGCCATGTCATGTCATCAATTTCTGTTATGGATTAACAGAGTTATTAAATCTAAAATGAAAGAATATGTTCCAATGGAGATATGAACTAGTTTGCATGAAGTGGCAAATGGGGTTTTTCTACCAGGAAATTTAAGAGCAGTAGTTGTATTTTCTTTTGTTTGCTTATTCTTTTGAAATTAATTGTTTTTTTTCCTTCCTTAAATGTGAAGATTTGTTTGTTATCTAAATTTTTTACAAACCTATATCTTTCTTTGTATACTGGTTGCATATGATCTTCTAATGAGAGGATTTATTTGTGCTTTCAAATAGTCTTTTACCTCATTTTATAAAAAATAATCATTTATAAAAATATAAAAATAGTCATTTATCTCAGATCTTTAAGCTAATGAATTATCGAAAAAAGAGAATACATAGGATAAATTCTGATAAAATCATTCTTGGACTGTTATGGATTAAAAGATTTTCATTTGACGGCGAGATCTATAAGAAAACAGTGGTAAGAAATCCATGTGGCTGCAAATTATATAGTAAATAGAGTTTTTCTTTTCTCTTCAAATCATATTTTTTTCAGTGATCTAGCATGAGGAAAATTTTATCTTTCTGCATTTGTCTCTCTTGTAAAGTTCTACTTTATATTCTGCCATTTACCCTATTAAAAGAGCTTACACCATACCCAGATACAAGCATAACAAGAAAATATAATGTTCCAATCTATTTTTTTCTATGCTTTTGAGTCTCTTGCTATGTCAATTTCAATTTTTCTAATCCAAATTTCAGAATCTGTGGAAGATGTCTTACTCATCTGAAGACGAAACAGTCAAAATTATCAATAATTCTTTCATGTCTTCAATTTATATTAACTACTTAGAAAACAAAGCCTAACTTCTTTCAATCATTTCATCAAACACTTTCTTTGCAAAACCCATTTTCCCCAATGTCCCTTAATACTAATGCAGTGAATTAAATCCATACTTCAACATGGGCGTGCACTTCAGTTCCTTCAAATACAGAAAAACTCAAATACAGCGAAAGCAGAAGAAGATGATTCGGTATTTCATTTACCTCAAATAGTGGTAGGACTGTCGGAGGCAGGAGCAGTGAAGCTCGCGGCTGTGTGCGTTTTTGTAGTAGGGTGAACGGGTGATGTTGTGAAGATAACTGTCTGGACTCTGGAGGCGATGAGCCGTCAGGCGTGGAGCTGTGGTTGCCGGCTGCGTGAGTGTGGTCTGTGTCTGATTTCACTGATTTGTCATTTGTGAAGTAAGAGTAGGGTTTACACAATTACACTCTCATATACCCGAAGGTCCCGAACCCTATTCTATAATTTCTATTATTCTATATTTCTATAATTCCTATTACTATAATAGTCTAACACTATGGGTTATGGTAACTGGGCTATGGGCAGTTGGGCTGGACGACTGGTATAGTAAATGTATTGTGCAGAATTTTATTTTGGGCTGGATAAAAATAGTGGAAAGTCCAATAACCAATTGCTCAATTATTATTATTATTATTTTTTACGGGTAATCGGTTTGGTTTCGAGGCAAGGGTGTAAATACCATACCCGCCCCGCCCCATAGCGGTTTAGCAATATCAAATACCATACCCGCCTCATTGCACTATCGGTTCGGTTTTTTTGCCCCATTCGGTTCGGTTAACCACGGTTTTCGGTTTTAACAGTTCGAATTGCCATCTCTAGAAGGGTTGTACACATATGTACATTCCAGCGTGCATCAATAATCACTATGTTACGCTGGAGATTATTTTTGTTGACACGACTATATATGTGTACGATCCAGATCATTTATGTTTGACACAAAGTTAGTTGGAGCAAAACCTGGAGTCCGTGACTGTAATTGTTCCTATGATGGCCAGACGAGCGGGGATGAATGTACAAAATAGATTGTGGATTGTTCGGAACACGACGACAGCGCGACAGTCCATAAGGTAACTGTTTGAACTCTGTTGTTTTCATATTTCGAATTTAGTTTTTAGCTACACAGTACTGAACTGATATATTCTTGTTCAATTGGTGCGGCGATTGTAGCATATTTGCCATTAAGTACGTTGAATTTTTAAGTATAGGACATAAGGTTGATGGAATCAACCAATCGTGGATACGGAACTGAAAAAAGAAGCTAGCTTGTGATTTGTTCGAATTTAATGATGACCCGTAAATTTGTATTAAATATATGTAACATTCGAATTGTAAATTTAATTATTTTTTGTGATTATGAAATAATTGTAAATTTTTGTTCAATATATATAACATTCACATTGAAAATTTAATTATTTTTTTGTAAGTTGATTTTTTGTTATTTTACACATATGCCGAGTATGGAACTATTTTTTTCATATGAATCATTATAAATACCATTTATCAAGAATAAATATTGAATATTGAACATTTATGAAGAACAAATATTGAACAATGTAAAGTAAACGAAAATATTATTCATTTAACATACCTATCTAATTGTCATTTAGGGGAATTTTACAGCTACAAAATTGTCAAGTATGCCCTATGGCTTTACACTTGCCACACCTACGCAGTCGAGAAAACTCTTCGGTAGATGGTATTCTAGATGTACTTAGACGTCCAGGACCACGCGGTTCAACTGCTGGTGGCAACAAATTATGAAACGGGAGAATGTGCTTGGGAACTTCCCACTCGGCTTCATTCGACAGAGAAAATATAGTCTCAGCATATGCTGTTCTCCAATACTCAGTCGTATAATACAAAGAGCATAATGTTCTCCCTGCAAAGCCTTGATACATGACCACCGCAACTGCATGCTCACATGGAACACTTTCCAACTGAAATCTCGTACAAGTGCATGTGTTATCAATCAAGGCCACCATATATGTCGTATTACATACACATTGCACGTGGAGCTCATCTAGTGCTTCCACATTTAACTTACTCGCAACCTCTGCCACCTTAAAGAGTTTCTCCTCTTGAACTGGGGCCAACACGCTAGTGTAACTCTGTGATGCCGCACATCGATTATGAAACCACTGTTGCAGCTTGTTATGAATGTTCTCAATCATTGCGAGAATTGGTAACTCTCGATGCTTCTTAAACAATGCATTGAGAGACTCCGCGTTATTCGACGTCATCATGTTGTACCGACGTCTTGGAAAGTATGATCGCACCCAATGTTCGATCCTCATGTTCGTCAGATACTCCAACACTGGTAATGATTTACTTCCTATCTCGAACATGAACTTATTACACTCTTCAGTACTGTAAGTTTCAGCTGCTCTCTTGAACAATGAAACGATGCCTTTGTCCTGATACCTAGTCTTCAAATTACCTTGTATATGATACATGCAATACCCGTGATGTGCCTGGGGAAAAATTTCAGCGATACCGTTTATTATAGACTGTCCCCGATCGATTACAAAGGCAAGGTCTTCGACTTCCCCGATCACTTCTCTCAGTTTAGAAAAGAACAAACGCATGGACAGATCATTCTCGTTGTCCACTATGTCGAATGCAATAGGGTAAATTTGGACGTTAGCATCTTGATATATAGCAATAATTAATTTTCCTTGATATTTAACTTTCAGAGTTGTACTATCAACTAGAATTATGGGTCGCATTGCATTTCGAAAACCCCGAATACATTGTCCGAGATCCATGAAGAAATACTTAAAATAATTATCGCCCCTCGACTCAATAAAAAATGTCGTGTCAGGATTAGTTGTCTCCATGTTATGACAATACTTGGCTCCTCAGCCGATCCCATTAAATCCTCCAACGCACATTATTTGGCCTTCCAAACTTTTTGGTAGCTTATGACCACTCCACACTCTCGACGGACGTTGTTAATAATGTTCGAAGATCCGTAGATCGTCCGTGAATTCTAATACTTGTGCATTATGTGTCGACAAATAAACCATGCTCGATCTTGCCTGTGATCATTTCGACAAATTCCCACTTTGCAAGTATGTTCTCGCGCATATTTGCTAACTACAAAGCATTCATTCATGTCCATCTTAATCGCTCTCAAGTGCCAATTGCAATTGTCGTCAACGCAGGCAACTGTTAACAATGACTAAGTTGATTTCTTTACCTTAAACTCAAAGTTATATTTTAATGTCATCCGGTACACAGCTTCCTGGAAATCTTTCTTGGTTTCAAATAGATGCTCGGCATACAAATCCCCATCATCGGGAGCCACACACGAAAAATTGGAGGACGATCCACTTGTTCCACCCCCTGAGCTCCCACCCAGCTCAGGTCTCTGTCGGGATAAAAAAATTAAATTTTTATTTGTAAAATTATTTATATTTTCGTTGTCCTCAACTGTCGACGAAATTTTGTGCATAACAGTGACTTCACGATCAGTAGCAACTGTCTCGAGAATAACCACATCGTCTGCAGGAACTATTTCCACTGTCTCTCAAAAATCTCAATCATTATTATCCGCTTCATCTAAATCTTCGCGTTCACCTTCGACAACATCCTTCTTAACTAAAGTCACATCAAGAACAAACGGAGTCCTATGCATTTTATTCAATTCTAATAGATAATTCAATTCGGCATCATTAGTAACAAAAATAGGTTGCATCGAAATGGACAAATCTCCATAATCATTGAATAAATATCTCAGTTGCATATCGTACTGAGAAGAATCGACATTCAACTTATTTTGCAAATCCTGGTGCACTTCCGCATATGATGTACTCTCTGTTACGGGAATTGCAATACAACCACATACATTACTCGTCCATCTCCATTCCCATCTATTATTTTCATCCAGTTTGAAATCACCGAAATAATAGACCAGGATTATCATATCTGTATGACGATATAGAAATTTTAAATCAATTACAACAACAAAAATTCAGATATTTATTTATTTAATCAACTTGTGATTAAAATTATAAGACAATTACCAAAACAGAAATTAATAATAAAAAAAATTCGTAAAACGGTCGGAAAAACAGCCGACTTGGACCGTTTTACAGTACAGTCGTTGGTCTGTTTGACAGTCGGCTGTCTGCTGTCTATCAGTTTTCGTTAACATCCCACAGTTAATCGTCGGACTGTTTATTTTGCGTATGACTTTTTATTTTTCTATGGTTCTAAAGAAAAAAATTATAAATCTGTTAAAAAAAATTTCTACTAACTACTATGTTATTTAACTACTCAAACGTAAACTAATTTACTGAAATCGAAATTAAGTATGTGTAAAAATATACCTACCGATTTGAAGTAATTAATCTAAAAAAATTTCTGGTTTCGACGTTTGAAAGTTTTTTTATATTTTGAGGTTCAAGCAGATGAAAAATGAGAGTTTTTCTGTGTTCGAAACTCGTTGTGCAGTTTAAAAAGTGGGAAAGTGTTTGATTTTCAATTATTAACTAAAAAGGTAATAATATTTTTTAAACCATCCAATATTTTGTAATTATATAATATATTTAAGGGCATCTCTGTCTTTTACCATTCAAGAGATTAATGTAATAATTTTCAAGTTTTTAAAAGTCAAAGTGGAAATAAGGACCTTTGACTATGTCAATTTTAAAAGTACCCCACATAACACCCACTACAGAACCTCTAAAGGATTTTAAATGTGATGATTTAGCATGGCCTATTAAAAGGAAAAAAAAAAAAAAAAGAAAAGAAACCCACTATAGAAATTTGCCCTATTCCGTCTCTCCCATTTCAACCATATTGTCTCTTCCATTTCTCCCAAATCCCTGTCCACTTTCAGCTCATGCACTCACCATCACAAACGACCGACAATGAAGAAGCTAATATTCTCTCAAATCACCGTCCACTTTCCGCTCATGCACTCACCGTCACCAAAGACTAACGACGAAGAAGCTGATCCCACTTTAGAGTCCGTCATTCAATCATAGTCACTCATCTCCATCCACACGAACAATCGACTTGTAAACAATCCCCGACGACGCACTCACCTTCCGTTCCCTACGCCGCATTCAACTCCGTTAACTGTGACACTGTGCTCCATCTCCGACAATATCGTAACATGGTTTTATCCAAGATATTGTGCAATAGAAAGAGCTCTTTTTATCCAAAATAAATGTTAGTCAACTAATGCGAAAAACGTAAACAAATGTTCAATGATAGAACAATCTAGTTTGTTACAGTTTACAATAAATTATCTCATAAGTCGGATGGACAAAAAACTTCACGTGATAGAAACACCATGGGATGGCTAAAAATGTTGGTGAAAAAAATGGATGGACCATCATCGTCCTCAATCTCGTCCATGATCTGCAGCTTTGGGATACCATGTTTTTTCCAAACATTATGAAATAAGAAAACAACTATAGATGAGTTTCAACTCCAATTTGTGAAGTGAGGGCAGCTAAGTGGGGGGAGAAAGTGAGAAGTTGAAAATAAAAAGAAATTGATTGCCTAACATATTTTTTAGTATTAAGGAAAAGAACAAGCTGAATTCTCTTTACCCACCGGTTGAAGTTTGCGTCGAAGATGAATTGAAAATTAGAGGTGAGTTTTGTAGTGGCACGCAAATTGGTTTTTTCTATGGTGGAGTGAAATCCAACTCCGCTGATCAGTCTTTCTATTTACCCACGAGTCGGAGTTGCACCGGAGATGGAGCGAAAATTAGTGGTGCAATATTCATTGGCAAGACTCGACGCAAAGCAAGGGATAAATGGCGGAATGAAATCCCGATTCTCGGTTTTTTGATTTCTGGAGATAATGTTTTTTTTTTTGGTTTTGTTTTAATAAGAAGTGTCACATCATCAAATTTAAAATATTGTACTGGTTCTTTAATGGGTTTTCTGTACCCATAGCAAAATCCAAAAAATAAAAAATATGCCGAGACCCGCCATGTGTTTTGTCTACTTGTCTGGCAACACGGTTCTAAAAAAATAAATAATCACGTTGGGTGTCAGAAATATTAACAACCTAGTTAACCCACATTCAAAATGGGGGTGGATGGGAGCATTTTTTTTTTTTTTGTATTTTTTTATTCATAAAGTTCCACGCACGTGTGAGAATAGCTCATCCTACATATCAAAATGTTTAGGACAACTTGGCTTAATTCAAAAGCAAAATAGAAATAAATCTTATCCAAAATCCTGCATAATTTGATGAAAAATCGTGCGCCCCACTATGAAGGTTGCACTGGTGGGTTTAGAGTTATAGATTAAGATATTAGTTACTTAGAAGATATTAGCAAATAGGTCGTCCTCAACAATGATATTTTTGAAATTACAATAACATTTTTTTTTCCGGAATGTTCTTAAACCTCTTTGAATGCATGTAAGAACAAATCTTGTAACTGTAGCAAACTTATATAAAATCAAGGACTTAGTCATTTTTGTGATCAAATTACAACGAGAAGAGAAATCAACACAAATATTTAGTGCTTATTAACCAAATATTGAAAATCAAAAGACCGGAGCTTTAACGAAAAGGTGAAGAAAAGAAAACATATTAAATGAAACCATCACGACAAGATCCTTATCAAACATAATTGCCAATGATATTTACTAATTGCATACAGCTCTCGACTACACTTCTTACATATGTAATTTTTCACCAACATTTTCATATCAACCCACCAAATACTGCATTAAAACATCACATAAAAACACAAATTACAATTTAAGCCATTTTTGATGTACTGAAAACACAAGAATTGAACATTTTTAATAACAAAATTTAAAACAGAGAGGGAATAACTATATAGATTATGGTTACCCACAAAGGAACTAAGATCACAGACCATCGACTATACTAGAAACACAAGAATACAACGTACTTCACATGAAACATCAGAAGCAAAATGGACTCATCGTAAATATTAGGGTAACACAAAAGATAGACACATGAAAATGACATGGATCCAAAGTTTTTCCCCCCTCCTTTATATAGAACTAGTGGGCAGTCCATGCAGTGCATGGAATGGTTTATTTTGAAGGCAACGTTAATGTTTTGAATGTGTTGGATTTTTATACATAATATTTTCAATTCAGTGTTTTCCATTGCTAAATTGCAATGGACTTTTTGTTATTTAACTACAGCTAGGCCAAACATTCTCTAA